CTGGGTATGGGGTCGTAAAAAAATGGTGCTTTTTTCCCCCCATGATTTTCTCAGGTATATTTAGCTATCTGGTCAGGATCTCTTACAATGTATACTGCTTGCTAGTGTTGTGTACAATAGAGATTATTTTGGTAACCCCCAAAATAGTTTATATTTTAATTACATTTTGTCTTTTGCAAGAAACATGTTGGTCTAGTTGTGTCCATGCATATTTGTGTCATTTATGATAGCTGCATCTACTCTGAAAAGTACTGTTTGAAAATATCATGTACACAAGTGCTCCGAACAATGTATATTGTTCACATTGGTGAAGGAATATGATAGAAAGAAAATATAACAGGCCAACAAAATATTAGTGATCTAGGATTCCTTTAAGGCTTTAAAAGTTTTCACCAATACTTTAAATTTTGTCTGAAAGGAATTGAGAACTGATTCAAACCTTACAATTAGTTGCCTCTTTCTCAAATATAAGGGTCCTACTGAAACAGGCTAACATGACCTATAGATAGTACTTTTGTGATAATATTTGATAGAGTCAGCCCACCCAAACTTCCTTTGTTTTGCATATCTTATTTTTCATGCTTCAGTTTGTGCAGGGTGTTTGTTATATCAGACAAACGAGGCTTCAAATAATTGCTTCTTTGAAACATCACCACTCCTATAACCCTTTTCTCTGCACTCACATTCTAGCAATTCACTTGCATGCAGTGGCGTGATGGAGCTGGCTTGCACTGGCTTGCAAAAGCTGATTGTTAAATTTTCTGGAATTTTGTGAGGTGGTTGACAGCAGAGGTGAACTTCCATGCATAGCATGCCAATCAGCTGTTCTGCAGCCAGCGGTGCCACATAGCAGCAGTTTTTAAGGATTTAGCAGCACACCACCGCTTGCATACCTCAATTTTTGTCTCTGTCTAGTGTGTGCTCTTGGTCTTCTTACTACTAACCCAGGGATCTGGCTATGATTATGTGCTTTACACTCAACTCCACTAGCTTCAGTAAGCAGAATTCAAATTGGAGATTCTAGCTACAATCATATACATCAGTCTGAGGATGGATTACTTTACCAGATTTACAGAGGCTGCCTTAATCTGCCAGGAGGGGCAAAAAACAATTGTACACATGATTGATTTCATGCTCCCAGGACTGGATAATGTGAAACATATTCATTATAGCTAGATAAATTGGTATAATCAGGGAATCCCAGACAGGGTAGATGCATGCAACTTCATCTACAAAACATCTGGCAGAAGTTTGATAGCAGACAAGCAAGCTGACTTCCTCAATTTTCACTGGTTCTTGATATAATGAATATTTCAGAACCTGGAATAGTTCTGCTAGATCATTGTCTGCCAAAGGAATTATGACAGAAATGTACATTTTATTTGAGATTATCAAAACCATAGCTCTAGCTACTATCCAGTAGGAGTTGCCTCAGATTTCCTCCATCATTCTTTGAGTTGTAATCCTTGCCGCTTCATAGTGCCAGAGTGGAGAGGCAGTGAGTCCACTGGGTCATGTCAGCAATAAAAAGATGTTCAGAATTGTGTTAAGAGTAGAATAAAGTTAGTAAGTTGTGGAACCCAATATCATTTGGGACAGCTTCATGGCTGCTCTGGCAGCTGTTAAAGTCTTACTGGAGCACAGGGAGTCTATCTGAGCAGCAAGGTGGGCAGTAGACCAACATACCCTCTGTTTTGATCAGTAACAAACAAGACTAACCTTTCTGGGCCTGGAGCCACCTCAGGATTGGGTCTGATTAATCTTTTGATGGAAGCTAAATCGAAAAGTTTAAAAAAAAATCTCAGAAGTCAGTAATAAATCACTTCTATATTTGCCCTAGAAAATGACATGGATATGTGACAATGAAGTCAGCAGGAATCAAGCTTATCTTGAGACCTTATCTTTAATCTGCAGTGAGGGATTGCCATCAAAAAAAGCTGTGGGACCAGCGGTAGGCAAAGTGAACATTCCCTTCTCCAGTAATCTGCCTCCACCATTTTTCCTTCTGCTCATTGCCTTTATAGAGGCTGTCCTCTAAGGATTTCTCCTCATTCATATCTCTAGAGAAGGACAAAATAAACAGGACAGGTAACAAAGCAAGAGTAAACCAAAATCAAAACAAACTAGAAAGCCTGAGCATGAATCCTAACCCAGTCTAATCTTCCCAATGCCTTAATACATGAAATAAATCATTACAATGCAAAAAATACCAAAAAATCAATCATCAGTAAGATTTTTGTCTTACTGAAATGTAAAAATATTAGGAAAATGTTTAGTGTTTTTTTTTTAAAGGAAAGACACATACTGTATAAGCATAATGAGACCATTTTTAAAATAGGGTTGTGATTATATGTTTTTTTTCAAACCAGTGACTTATGGTCTGGATTCCTATAACCCAACTGGGTCAGTAAAAATGTACCTGCCCCATTCACAGAACATGACAAACCTAGTTAGTTTTAATCTTGCTTCTTTTTTGTTGTATTATATGAACGACACCACCTTGATTAGTTTATTGTTCAATATATCCTGTGAGAACCAAGAAAAAATATTAATTCATCAGCCATGTTCAACATGTTGTGCAAACACAGCCATTATTTGAAGTTTGATATCTGCACACTCATTTGACGTCCCTATACAGTTTACAGGATGTGGAGCCAAAGCAAGCAAACCAACTGACTATTCTTCGTATGGTTTTCACTACTGTCATAATATTAACACCTCTTTTCCTCTACTTTTATTTGTCTAACAGCCTTTTTAACTCTATAATTGTCTGAGTGACCGAGCTAAGCACACTTCCACATTATACTTTCCAGTCCCCAAGAACCTGAGAAGTGAATATATGGTCAGCTGAAGTCTGGGAGGTGGAAGAGGGGGGAAGGAAAAATTCCTGATAAATGGAAAACACATCAGCCATAAATTCTACAGAGCTTCATTGCTGCAAACAGAAATACTGCTTTTTTCCAGCTTGGGTTACACTGTGGTGGAGTCTGAAATAAATCAGCTCAGTTGCCAAACAGACAACAATGTAAGAAGTATGGTATTGATTCTAAACCATGCAAAGAGCCAATTTTGGTGGTCCATCACTATAAGAATGCCGAAAGTCAATTTGGTATGGGATAGAGATGTGCATAGAAAAGAAAATGTGTTTTGTTTCACACCATAAATAAATAAATAAATTATGGCTTGGAAGTTTGGTTGAACTGTTTTGAGTAGGTTGTGGTTTGCCTGAACAGAATCTCATTACATTGTGTTTGTTCCAGATTTCAGCTGAGACAAATTATGATGTGGTTTTATAGGGCAAGTTGGTCAAAACTATCCTACTGGTTTCCAAGTCCTTCCTGTTGATGTTCTAAATCCTATCCTATCCTATCCTATCCCCCCATACCACCTCTAATGGCCTTGCCTTTTTCCCACTTTCTCCTCTTTGAAACACTTTTGGTGGAACACCCTTTTCAGTTCGGTGCCTTGATAGAACAGAATGTTTCAGGACTCAAATCATGTGAGTTTCAGTCTGAACTCAACCACTCCGAAATGGCTATTCTACGTGTGTTATATACAATCTGTGTATAAAATGTTTTGCACATTCTTAGTATGGGAGGAAAATGAAGGCATCAGGCATCTCAAAAAATTGAAATGTTACTGAACATTTTTTTAAAAAAGGAGTAAATTAACATTATGTTGGTAGTTATATGAAAAAAATTAAACCCATTTTTACAGTTGACCATAATAGTAGTTTGGATGTGGAGATAACATAAGAAAATATTTCCATTTAAACTTTAATGTAGGGGTATTTTCTTAATGTGCAGCCAAGGCTTTGCAAAAACCCAGCAACCCTGTTGCAGCTCATCCCAATCCTTCAGAAGAACAGCCTTTTAACTTTCAGTTCAGCTTCTTACAGCCCGTGGGTTTTCTGCACACCCTTCATCTGGGTTTCTTCTTATTTCTTTCTCTTTTCTAAACTCATCAGTAGCACTCTCCTACTATTTTCCAGTTTCAGTTACATGTACTGTGTTAACATCCTTTCCCATCTTCTTGGCCAGTTAGAAAGCAGTAAAAATAAATGGATTTTTCCCAATTCCTACTCTCACCCAGAACTGTTTAAATGAAATGAAAGAAAGCTTACATATAAATTCTAAATAACTGTGCAGTTGTAAATATTAGTTTACGGAACTTTCATGAGAGTGGTGCAATGCTGATATGATGTCATTTCTCAAGATTATGCTGGATGCATTACTTGCAATCAGCAAATTATGCTTTAATATTAGGTGATGGCTTTTCTGGCTCCAAGCTGATGAGCTGGAGAAAGTTTAACACAACTTAATGTCAGTCTGAGGATCTCTGATTGATGTCTTTCTGATTACATACCAGTACTTACAGAGGATGGTAAGAATTGAAGTCCAACACGCCTGGAGAGCATCTGGTTGGGGAAGATTGTAATATACAATTGATCCTTCAATATGTCATTAGATTATAGGGAAAACAATTTGCATTAACAGTGGTACAATTCTAAAGGAATATCAGGATGCTTATAATTAAAATCTTTATTACGCTTCACTCTAACTCATTTTAGATTGTTTTATATTTATAAACAACCCATTTCTCCCTCTTCTGTTTAAGGAATGGAAAGATGGAATAACTCCACATTATATTGTGATTTAAGGAGCGATTTGTCTGGAATCACTCACTGAAGTCTGTGTGCAATTTCACTAGTTTAAAAGGGATTAAGCATTTACTTGAAATTTACTCAGATACTGTGCATATGCTTGTGGTGTCTGAGCCTGACTGGTTCTCTGAAAGCTAAGGAAAAGCTAATTTTATTAATGACTGCTTGACACTCAAGCACTAGAAGAGACAACTCATTAATGTATTCTATAAGTAGATTCAGTGCTCAGTTTATTAATGACTGGCTTGTTCATTTTTTTTTTAATGTGTGTGTTACAGGAAAAAGTAGAATATGCCTTCCTGATTATTTTTACAATTGAAACATTTTTGAAGATTGTAGCATATGGATTATTATTACATCCCAATGCATATGTTAGAAATGGATGGAATTTACTGGATTTTGTAATAGTTATAGTAGGGTAAGTCCAATTTTTAAATTTTCTAAGAAGTTAACATGCTGAAAATGTTTTTACTTTATATACATGCTGTAACATTCAAGCAGGGAATCTATAATTATCCTTCTCTTCAGCTTTATGAGATTTTAGTGCTGTCAAATACTTCATTGCTTTGCAGTGATTTTCCAGATAGGAAATCTAATCACTTGAATATGTTCCCATTGTTCTTTAAGAGGACATCATTGAATTTTATATCACTACATCCTTCAGTAAGATTTATATAAACACATTCTTAGGATTATTTTATATGATATGTTTTTCTTTTACAGAAATAATATTTGTGTAGAAAGCCACATATGTATATTCTATGGTATGAAATGTAGCACAAGACAAGTTCCTCCACTCCAAAGAAAATACATAGTATATGAGATGAACGTAGGGCTCTTATGTACAATTTTGACATAGGAAAATATGAAAAATATAGATTTGACCAGAAAAATAAAACAGAAATTATTAAAGCTGCCTCTGATAATTTAAAGACATAGGGGAAGACTCAGGAAAAGTACAATGTGATTTCTGTTTGGTAGAAATAATTTCAGCAACATTGTCTTGGAATACTGTGTCAGACTGATTAGTAAGTCCCACTTTTGTTTTCAGAGTGTTAATGTGGGTTAAGAGTGGCAGAAAAAGGGGAGATAATAAGAAACAAATTACATTTGTGACTCTCACCAATTAATAGTTTGCAAAAATTTAAAATTCAAAATATTGTGCCGCATTCTGAGTAATTTCGCTTGAATTATTCTTTTGTGTGGAAACTCCATTCCAAAAGATAAACATCACTTGAACTATCCTCCAGCAAAATATATCTATTCCAATGTAATGACTGAACAGCATCTCTAGCAGTCTATCCTGGCCACTGGTTATCACAAGAGGTGAGCATTAGTTAAATATAAAAGTGTGCATAAAGCTCTGTAACATCTGGATATGAACACATTTCTGTCTGAATATAAAGAAAAGAATTGGATAGTGGTAGTAACTCTGAGTTTGAATTTGATGTCTTGTGTCTGACTCCTGAAAGATACCTTGCCCCTGAGGTTCTAAGGATGAAGCATATGAACTACTCTGAGCTCTCTCTTTAACTATGAAGCATGCTTTTCTAATGTTGTAATGGTTATCTTTTATGTTTTAAATAATACATGTACAATATAAGTTGCTAAAAGGGTCTCCAAATTTAAACCTACTTTATGAAAAAGTTTACTACTTCATGTTATAGTAACAATGATATATAATCTTTTATTTCTTGTTCACCAGATTGTTTAGTGTAATTTTGGAACAATTAACCAAAGAAGCAGAAGGGGGTAGCCATTCTGGTGGCAAACCAGGTGGTTTTGATGTAAAAGCTCTGAGGGCCTTTCGTGTCCTGCGACCCCTCCGGCTTGTATCAGGAGTGCCCAGTAAGTCACCAAGTAATTAATATATGGGAACACAAACAAAAACATCTGCATGTTACCCAGATAAGCTTTTCTGCCATCTTAGAAATATCTTCCCCTTCTCCTTTTCTCTCTAGGGTAAAACATGATGACATGTTGTAAGCACCAATTCCTCTCTGATTGTTTAGATATACTAATCTGAGATTTCAAATTGAATAAGGACCTATTTCAAGTCCACAAAGCAGCCAAAAGAGTTTAGATTATTGTGTTTCATGGCCTAACCCATAATTTATACATTAGGTAGTAAAATAACTGTTTTAATACACATGTGTTGGTCTGCCCCTAAAAAAGGCATTGTTATTACTGCTGCTGAGGTGGTGGATACCTTTCTACCTATAAGGACTCAAGGCATCTTAGCATCTTAGACTTAACTATCTAAAATAAAATTGAATGCCTAGAAACAGAATAAAACCAGATGAATTAATACAATTGTTGCATGTATGGTTTGCCTCTGCAGAGCCTAGCTGAACTCACCTTGTGTCCTAGTATCAGAATATTATATCACATCATTGGCTGGCACTACTGTATATAAAATTAGGATATAGATAAATTCTACTAAATTTTAAAGAGAACTGGATGCATGGCTGCCAGTTTTGGTGACTGTTTGGTGACTGATCTAGTTGCCCCCTAAAGTATTTCCAGAAGGAAATAACCTTTGCAGGGATCTTGTCAAGAAATTAAGTCAATAAGGTAATTACACCAGTCTATGAGTCAGATTGATTTGGTTTCCAGTTTTCATATAATGTGACTAACATATACCGTCATTCTTCTGGGTATCAGTTTTTAAACATTCTGCCTTATAGAAATAATTTATTTGCCAAGCAGCTCTGTGTTAACAGGTGTGGAGTAACTGACAGTTTAGCACCAAGATTTCATGGTGCATTCTATGGCACATACTCATCGCTGTGTCAACATGTTCTGATAAGCCATGATCTATTTAAACATACTTTATTGAATGTAGCAATAATGGCTGTGTTAGCACAGAAATAAAGTAATAAAACATGTCTTGTAGTCAGCAGTGACTGGGTTCACCTAATGTTTCAGGTGAAAGTCAAAAAAAGGCCTTGAAATGTGGAATATGATTGTGAACCCAGCCATTGTATGCTGATGAGTGAAGTGCTTGTTGTGCTTGAATGGAGCTTGTACCGTAGGCTGTGCCCAACACATTGGTCATACAAAATCACTTATCCACTTTCATGATATTTTCCTAGAAGATTCCCCTTTACCAAAAAGGTTTCTAAGATGCTAATAGGTTTTGTAAGAAAAACAGTTTGTAGCCTATTAAACTGTGGTTCTAGCTAATGAAAGTGGGTGTATTAAAAGCAGGAAGGCTACTGGAACACATAGTTCAATAAAATAACAGGTGGATTTACATGTAATCCTTTATATTTCAGTAGCATTCATTGGTTTTGTTTTCTTTCTCTCTCTCTCTCTCTTTGAGGATATTTCGGGTTGAATGAAGCGTCTGTTCTTTTAATCTCTTTGCTTTTAATATTTCATCCATACGCAAGGTCATAATACTATGTTTATCACACCATAATCTGTTGCCATGGAAATGATGGCAATTGGTGTGGTTCAGGAAAATCACTTCAATGGAAGATCAAGCAATTGTCAGAGATAGTCCATAAATGGAGAAAAAGCCTTTTAGTAAGATGCAAAATTTTCACTGGCAGCAGACTGATACCTCTAATTTTGTATGTGTACAAATCTCAGTTCAAGTAAGAGTTAGCTCTTTTTCTTTCCTTAACAAAATGAGATTTTTTAAAAGCTTGTATTATGCTCAAATGCATCTTAAAGTATTGTGTATGTGCATGGTGCTTCTATTTTATCTGTGCAACCTCCCACCCCCAATAAAATCATGCTGACTGCAAGATCATCAGAAATGAAGTCCAATAGATCTGCAGTGGACCAGGTTGTAAAGGCTGTGCTAAAAAAAGTGTGTGTGGGGGGTGTTGGGAGGGTTTAGGGCTGATGCCTATTTGTGTTTTTGCATTTGATAATTGTAATTACAAAAAACCAAAACAATATAGCCAGTGCTTTTTGTCTTACAGGTTTACAAGTTGTCCTGAATTCTATTATAAAAGCCATGGTTCCCTTGCTCCATATTGCCCTTTTGGTATTATTTGTAATCATAATCTATGCTATTATAGGATTGGAACTTTTTATTGGGAAAATGCACAAATCATGTTATTTTGAAGATTCAGGTGAGTAAAGAAATTGTTATGTTTAACTGGAATTGAACTTGCATTATAAACCATTGGTTGAAAGCTATAATAGTCCTCACCAAACAAAAACAGATTACATTTTAATTTTCATATTGCTTTTTACTGAAAAATCAGATTTATATTTATATTTGGGGCAGAATTATATCTTGCATAGAAGAATGGGAAACATCTGTGGCTTTCTGCATCATTCAATGTGGCATTCACAGATTCAGTAAATATCATCAGTTCAAGTTCCCCTACATGAGAACAGAAAGTATGGGAAAATATTAAAACCATTAGTAAATGGTCTCCAGATCTAGGAGTGTACAGTAAATCCTACCATAGGACTGATGCTGAGTCCTACTGCCAAAAAGTAAAAAATCAGTACTAGATGATTAATAGAGGTAGGAAATCTAGTGGTATCATAAAGGATCTCCTGTTAGTGTATTCTGAAAAAGAATATTCTTTCAGATTCTATGTCTTTAGGTTTTCATAAAGAATATAGTTCCTTAAAAATTAATTCTTAATGGTTAATTCTAACCATTTCACAAAGAAATGGTTGTATGTTCAAAACAGAAGTCTGCTGGCTTACATTTAGGTATTATTAATATATAGCAATATAAAGTTAAATAAAAAGTACCCATAGGAAGTATGATTCTGAGATCAAGCACATTTTTATTGTTCTTATTAAAGAGGTCAAAACTCTTTTGTTTATTTTTTTGAGGAAAATATGTAATTGTTAATCCCTATACTATTTTTTTTCTATAGGCATAGTAATATAAAATATAATTTATATTTATAAAACATAAATATAAAAAAGGGATGACCTGCAACAGAAGGATGGGATATAATATTTCATATTAATTAAATATATAATGCTGTTTCTACCCTTTGTAAAGTACTGTTCTACCTGATTTTTATTAGAGAGTAGTCTGGTAAGGACACATTATATAATGCCATATATGTATGTATTTATGTGTATATACAAGTGCCTGTATGTGTGTGTATATATATCTATGTATAACTATAGGTATTGTCAGGCCTAGCCCAAGGAACTCCTGGAGACAGTGCAGGTTCAATCAGCAAGGTTTATTAGCTAGCGCTAATTTACAGAATCTTCTCAGACTGCCCAGTAGTTCCCGGGCACAAGTCTCTCCTATCTTCTGGAATGTTTAGGGATGCGCCAGCTTTCTCCGCTTATCTCCAGAGCGTTGCTCTGGAGACGAGAGCAACGTTTTCACCCCCCTTCCTCCATTCCAGTCCATCACAGGTATCTTCAAGGCCATTTTATATCAGGATTAAATTACCACATGATTGTAGCATCAGATGTAAAAATGAATGACTACTGAGTTCTGTTGTTCTCAGGGTTAGACCCAATATGCAGAAGAATGTCCAATATTGACATAGTTTACCACATTTTAATTTTTCTTCAGCTTCCACAAGCATGGGAATTGCTGTATATACCTCCCTGTATAGCCTAGTTTGCATAAAAACCTCCTCAGATGGATGACAACATGTACCTGAGTAAGGCTTTTTGAAGAATGGCTTATGTAAACCAGTATTCAGGATCTAACCAGATCAAGCTTTTAATCTTCATTCAAATGCATGTTCTTTCTGACTGTTATGTCTTTTCTAAGCCAGTTGCTGAAGATTGCTCAGCATGAAATGTTTTTGATTCACTTTTAGAAATATTAGCTGAAGATGAACCTGCACCTTGTGCATTCTCAGGGAGTGGACGTCAGTGTCCCCTAAATGGCACTGAATGTAGGGGCGGCTGGCCTGGACCAAATGGAGGCATAACAAACTTTGATAATTTTGGTTATGCAATGTTAACTGTGTTCCAGTGTATAACCATGGAAGGATGGACAGATGTGCTGTATTGGGTAAGTGGTGCTTTTTGTGTATTTGAAAACAAGTTTTCTCATCTAAAAGAAGACTTCTGGGTCTGGAATTATTCTGTGATTGTGAGCCAGCCTGGTAGGAAGCTGCATCTCACTTGTCAAATTTTCTTGGATTTCTTGTGTTAAAACAAATTCAGCGAGGGCAGTTTAAAAAATCTTATGTTTCTGGGGTTTCCAATAGTATGTTTCATAAAGATGCAGCACTACATAAGATCCCCAAAGGTTTTGGTTGCAGACCTGATACTTTTCTAAAATGCTACTAAATTGTAATGTTTGATGTGATCAAAATGGAAAAGACATGGGGAGTAACATGAATGTCATTTCATTATTTGAAATAGAAATCGATACAAGTTGTAGCCATTTCTACAGATAGCAGGCAAAGATTTGAGGACCAGATGTTATAGATATATATTCTACATAACTGAAAACTGGTTAATGATTGAAAATATTCTGGGCCCAGGAATTTCTTTCTGAATGTCAGAATTCAATAGCACTTACACAAATTGGTTAGTTCAACGTTATTTATTTCAGCAGCATAACTTTGAATGGGGGAGTCATTTTTGTTGTCTTTATTAAAAAAAAAAAAGGGTGGGGGTGTCAAAAAATCCTATCTGGAGTTCTTGATCTATTTTCTTCACAATACTAGCTTATTCCATGTTGTGCACTGATGTATGATTTTGAAAATTATGTTGAAAATTATCCAAATGTAATGTCATGTCTCAGATGAATGACAAACATTTGGAAGATATATTCCTTCCTTAGACAATGTTTCAAAGTTTGCAAAACCAAATATTGTAGTGATTTTAACCACTGTGATGGATAGAAAGTTGTTTCTTCAACTAAAGACTGTTTCCTACTGAAGGTGGCAGAAGAACACCATTAATATTAAGTTTGTCTACAACCAGCAGGGATTTAATTAATATCTCCCATGTGAGATCAATTCCTAAAGTAACTTCTGCCACCCATGGAAACAGAAAATAACTATTCTGTGTTTACATATTCAGCAACAAAAACAATTGACATAGATGCTATTCTTTTCTGTCACTGCCATTTAATTATAAGCTGGTTAAATATCTCGCATTACTATATGTGGGCTATACTGTACTGTATATCGTTGCTTCTCAACCTTGGCAACTTGAAGATGTGTGGACTTCAACTCCCAGAATTCCCAGCCACTGATTTAAGCCACTGAGTCCAACCATCTGTTTACTGCAGAAATATAAATTAAAGCATGTCCAGCAGATGGCTGTCTGGTTTCCACTTGGACACATCCAGAGAAGGAGAGTCCATTAAGAAGTATCTCTCTTAGAAAAGAGCTTTGAAGCATGCTAGTTAAATGTCAGAGATTTAAATGAACCATGTAGCATGATGATCATACATGGAGAGAAATTATCTGAACCTGCTTTGCAGGAAAAGTCTATCCCAACAGAACAAAATTTAATCTGCCATAGTTCTTTGTACCTTAGGTTTTATAATGTACCCAACAGAGAGTGTCAGAAAAGCATAAAAATACTCTCTTGTAAGAAATTGCTACATATCTTCTTGGCTCAGAAGATGGCTTGAAAGATGTTTTTCTCACTATAAAAGAACAAGTAAGATGTAGTGCTTAAGCAGTTGAACTAGAATTGGGGATAACAGATTCTAGTCCACCGTCAGCCATAGAAGCTCACTGGATGACTCTGGACTAGTCACTTTCTCTCAGCAGGGATGTGGTTGCAGGGAAGAAGGTGGAGGAAGGAATGTTACATATGTATGCCACCTTGAACTCCTGGAAGGAAGGCAGGATATAAATCTGGCAAATAAATAAATGAATAGTTTTAAACCATCTTTAATTGAACTATCTTTACTTGTCTGGATTTCACTCTATAAACTTTGATTATTTTAAAGGCCTCAGGAGTTTTGTAGCTAATCTGGTTTCAGTTGTAGAACCTATTGGAAATGACTGTCTTACATTAAGTTCTGTTACACCATGATTACAGCTACCATATCTAGATGCAAAAATCCACACAATGATTAGATGGCAACAAAAAAACACAGAAAACTAACCTTTTGCTGCCACTTCGTGGTCATCCAGACCCCTCTGAGATATCCTAGACCCATGTTTTAGGGCCTGGTCATCTTATATTAGAGTGTAGTATTTCTCTTTTAAATTTATACTCATTGCTTTTTATTAATAGTTGAAGGACACATACTAAAGCTGAGTCTGCGTGAGAAGATGAGTCCTTGTTTATTCTAGCTACTATAGTTGTTTGCATTTTGTAAGAAAGCCCGTGCCTCATGTTGAAAGCCCTGGATAGAGTTTAATCAATGGTTAGCTGATTGCAATAAATTGTAAGGTTTCAGAGTTCAATAGGTAACTGGGTAACTTGATCTGAGTGTTGTCTGTAACAACCTGTCATTGTGCCTTTATGGAATATTTATAAACAAATCTGTTTCTTAATTATTTAAGGCTTTCTATAAATTATTTATAACTATTTATTTAACCCCATATATGTCATACAATAAAAATAACATCACAGTACTGGATTATCATAATTGATTAGGAGTATAAAAGTCAATGTGATTTCTTTGGAAGATGTCTAGATTCAAAATCTAGCTGTTTGTTAATGTGTAATGAACTAATTGAGTTTGCCCAATTAGTAATGGTTAGTGTTTTGGCTCTGTAGAAGTGCATGCTTTTCTATATCCTGGTCTTTCAGAATTGAAATACTGTGTATATTAGGGAATAATTAAATGAACATTCAACAAACAACAAAAAATAATTCTTACACTCTTATTTTTCCCAGAAATGTGGAGTATAATATCAGGTGTGATGTGACATAATTGTAATGGCTTTGTCAAGCCACCCTGTGTTTTAAACCCCCCTCCCCCAACTTCTGGCAACTACCATATATAATGAACCAAACTAGTACAGCTTATGCTATTGGTTTTGGGAAGTGTGGATAAGAAGGTGCAGGGATGACTTCAGATATTTGTACAGAACAAGAAAACAGAAGTCCAAAGAACCTTAATATAATATAAATAACTTAAATACTGGTGTGTGTTCAGCCCATTGAGTCTCTATTTCTTTAGTCATTTATTATATTTATATCCAACTTTTCCCCTAAGGAGCTCAAGACAAGAAACCTGGGAGTCCTTCCATTTTATTCTTGTAACAACTATGTGAGATAGCTTGGGTGAAAATGCAAGGGTTCTACAATCCAGTGAGTTCTATGATCAAGTAGGAGCTTGAACCTAATCCTCACTAATATTATTCTATTGCTGATGTTTTATGCATTATTAATATCTGCAAACTGCCTATGGTCTAGTTGGATTGAGGCACTGAACAAATTACACATATACATACAGATACATAAAATCACCACTAAACCAAGCAGGAAAGTTCTTTTTAGTGTCTAGTTTGAACTGCAGGTCCTACCTTGCTGTTAACTTGTCAGAATGCTTGTTCTGTTCTGAGAGAAGCAACAAAGCCAAACCCCTATTTTAGACAACGCACTCCACAAATTATTTTATGTTTACTTATTATCTTAGGAGTGAATGGGCTGCTTGCAGCAGTACAACACTTATTCACAATATACCAGGATTCTTGGTTTATTTTTATTATATTAAATTACAAGTGAAAGGCACATGATGCCAGTGCTGTGATTCTTGTAGCAACTATATCTTCCCTCATTGCACTTGGCATATAGGATATAGATAAGAGAGAGACTGTGGTGTGCTTGTGTTCTGAAATCCAGAGAGCACAGGGAAGAACGCAGGGCAGTTTTTCTGACAGATAAGCTGTTGGTAAGCTGTTAGATTTGAAAGTCATTCCCTTTTAAGCCTGCTTGATATATGAGCCTCTGAGACCTTAGAGCGGAGCCTTTGAAATCAGCAAGGTTTTGAGAAACTGTATGTCATCCTGGCCAGCCACTTAGAAGTCTGCGTTCAAGGATTGGTTGACCTACTATTCAGACATCAAAGCCTGTTAGAACAGCTTGCACTGTTTCAGAAAATCCTGATTCCCAAGGCCATTCTAGATGCTGATAAAAGCTTCAGTATCTTAAATTCCAATTAAAATATGAAACATACACTATATGTATGTATGTATGCATGTATGTATGTATGTAAAATTTCAAGCAGTATAGCAGGTACAGTAAAGTATTTAAAAAGACTAGTGGAGAGATACTTAGGCAGCAAATTCTATGTATGTTTAAGGGTAGGGCCCATTGAAATAAATGGTATTTACTTCTCAACAGACATGTATTAATTGATACAATTGGTGCATTAATCAGTTGATTATTGATTGATTCATTCATCTAGCATATATAATCACCCATATCACAAACATGTGACTCTGGACAGTGTACAGCACAACGGTTAAAAACTCCACAGCAATCTAAAAATAATCAAAAATAAGTAAAATAAACAGATAAAGTAAATAGATAAAATAAACAGATAAAACCCAAGAAAGCAGGAGAACAAACATCACCACCTTGCAGGCTTTCTCTGGGATCCCAAGGCTGGTAAAAAAACTGTTTTAAGGGCCTTTCAGAAGGTTAACAAAGACTGACTGTATTAACTTAAGAAGCTTAAAACAACCAGAAATGCTTATTTTATTCCTCTGGTTGAAGTATTTGCTCTGAAATATAAATGTCTTTATACCAATGGAAATGAATTTTAAAGCCAATTTAACTAAAAACCTATGTGTGTAAGAAGCAATAGTAGAAATGAATAAAGTTTGGCAAATAGTTGTGTGAGTAAAAATCACATTCTTCTAGAACAGGAACCATACAGTGAAATGAAATGGCAAATTCATTCTTTAATCCAGTGACATCAGAAAGTAACTTCTACTCTGCATAAATGCAACAGAGAGGCTTAAATAGAAGAAAATGAAGTAATATTTTTGGAAGTGTAAAAGATGCCAAAACTGGTTATAGACAGGATTGCTGCATTATAAAGGAAGTTTATTCCCAGTGTTGATAAGCATGAATATTATTTAC